AAAAATAAGTATTACCCTAAGAATCACTTCTTAAAGCTTCTCAATGGTAGACTTTCTTTTAAAGGTAAACTTAGGTATAAGGGTGTTATTTTCTTTTAATTACCAGAGGACATGTGTGCTCACCAGAGAGAGAGGAGAGGGAGAAAGCACTCCCCAGTGAGACGTGGTCGTGCTGCAGTCCCTTCTTCATCTCTCCCTCCTGCATATTGCACATGCATCCCACATTTCTCAAGGCTTCGGGTCTGGGACACAAGAACTGCACAGTAGACCTGCTGCTTTAACCACCATGTCATGGGTTAGCGTTTTTGTTTATTTAAGTTTTTGTTATAGGGCATCAGTGTTTGCTGGAGAGAGAGAAACAGACACAGAGAGGGGAAGTGAGAAATCAATTCCTGGGGAATGGCCATGGCACAATCCCTTCTCAACTTCATTCTCCTCTTAGGATTCTGGGCACACACTCAAACACACCTAGCATGATTTTCAAGCCACTGGTTCCTGGACTCAAACCGTGGTCGGTCATGTGGGAGTCTAGCTCTTTAACCACTATTCCACCTGCTGACCCTTGGGCTGTCATTTTTTTGTTCATTTTTGGTTTTTTGCTATTAGAATGTGTGTGCTCACCAGAGAGAGTGTGAGGAAGTGAGAAATCACCTCCCGGGGGAATGGCCACACTGCATTCCCTTCTCTATCCTCCTCTCAGGATTTTATGCTTGCATACACATGCACCTACTGTGATTTTCAAGATGCCAAGTCCAAGCCAACCACGCAGATGGCCATGTGGGATCCATGCATACCACCTGCTAGCTCACTATTCCTTCTATTACGGTCACCACCACTACTATGTTCTTAGTAGTTGTAGTAGAAATAGTCATTAACAATTAGTGAGCTTTTACTGTATGGTAGATACTATGACAAACCCTTGATATGGATAGTTGACTAATCCCTAAAAAACTACAGAAGGCTAGTCTCTGAATTTTACAGGTAAGAAAACCAAGACTCTGTGAGGTTTAAACTGAGAGGTTAAAAATCACTTCCCAAAATCACATAGCTATTAGTTACCAAACTCCAGAGTCTGTTCTCTTAACCCTTGTGTTGTACTATATCTCACTAATAAAAACTGGAAAAAAATAACTAGCCATGGAAACCACAAAAGTAAAGCTGCGTTGGGCCCCACAGGGCAGGGCAGAGAACTCTGTACCCCTTGATTGCCTATGCCCCCTTATGTAGGAATGCTCTTGACAGTGATGTCTTAGACACCAGCAGTGTTATATTCTGGTTTGCCTATTGAAGAGGTCAGTGAAATGCAAATACATTTGGATAATGAGTTCCATCTAGAGAGTTCTGTCTTGCTGATAATGTGTGGGAGCTGCCGGCAGCCTCGGCGGACTGGCAGCTGGAGTGGATGCGATTGCCGCCTCCACCTGTGCGGCTTTCTCCACCTGGGCTGTTAGCTGCTGCGCACTGGGAGAGTGAGGCGGGCTACAGTGGAGCCTGACTCAGTGATTGAGGACAAGATCATCAAGCCCATGTTAACCGAAGTACATGTTTAGGATTTTGTTAAAGAAAGTGGAAACTAAATGGAAAGAATCTTGGAAGATGCTCGACTGCTGTCTTTTTTCCAACTAGTCCGAAAGGGAATACCCCCCCATTCAATCTGGATTGATACTTCAGATCATTGGATCCATTCATCAGATCTGAAGTACAAAATATTTTCCAGAACACTTCAGTTATGGAAGATCAAAATGAAGATGTGTCCCCAAAGAAAAGTAGTCTTTGGCAGATAAGTAATGTAATGTCATTTGTGATCCTCTCCAGAAAGAGGTCATCAGAAGGAAACTCTCAAAAAGAAAAAGACTTGTGTTTTAAGTATTTTGACCAGTGGTCTGAATCAGATCAAGTGGAGTTTGTGGAGCATCTCATTTCATGAATGTGTCATTATCAGCATAGACATTAACTCTTACCTGAAGCCCATGTTGCAGCAGGACTTTATTACTGCTTTACCAGAGCAAGGCTTAGAACACATAGCAGAAAACATCTTTTCCTACCTGGATGCCAGGCCTCTGTGTGCAGTAGAAATGGTATATAAAGAATAGTAGAGCGTGATCTCAGAGGGAATGCTTTGGAAGAAGCCAAATGAAGGAATGCTTTATGGAAGGGACTTTCAGAATGAAGAGGGTGGGATCTGTTTTAAGAAGAGACCCACAGCTGACCCTTCCAACTTATTTTATAGGTCGTTATACCCAAAGATTATCCAGGATATAGAGATTATAGAATCTAACTGGCAGTGTAGACGACACAACTTGCAGAGGACTCAGTGCCACTCTAAAAATAGTAAAGGTGTCTACTGTTTACAGAATGATTATGAAAAAAGTTATCAGTGGCCTATGAGATAATTCCACTAAGATTTGGGATAAAACTAGCCTGGAATGTTTGAAAGTGCTAACAGGACACACAGGCTCTGTCCTCTTTCTTCAGTATGACAACCATGTCATTGTAATAGGCTCTTCAGATTCTACAGTGAGAATCTAGGATGTCAACACAGGTGAAGTTCTTAACACACTGATCCACCACAGTGAGACTGTGTTGCATGTACGCTTCAACAATGGACTAACGGTCACCTGTTCCAAAGATTGTTCCATTGCTGTGTAGGACATGGCTTCTGCTACCGGTATCACTTTACGTCATGTCTTGGTTGGCCACCATGCTGCTGTCAGTGTAGTACATTCTGATGGTAAGTACGTCGTGTCTGCCTCGGGTGACAGGACCATCAAAATCTGGAGCATAAGTGCCTGTGAATTTGTTTGAACTCTCAGTGGGCACATGCAAGGCATTGCCTGTCTCTTCCTGGGATTGGCTCATTGTCAGTGGATCCTCAGATAACACCATTAGACGTATGGGACACTGAATGTGGCACCTATTTAAGAGTCCTAGAGGGACATGAAGAACTGATCAATGCATCCACTTTGATAACAAGAGGATCGTCAGTGGGGCTGCTAACTGGAAAATTAAAGTTTGGGACTTGCAAACTTTGCCCTCAGGGACTTTGCCCTTGACCCTTGAGCCCCAGCCAGCACCTTGTGTCTGTGCACGTTGGCGGAACATTCTGGACATGTGTTTTGGCTACAGCTGGATGAATTTCACATCATCAGCAGCTCCCATGTTGACACTATTTTTATTTGGTATTTCCTTTTTTTTTAATCTGTCATTTGGTTTTTAATTCTTACGTCTTATGATATAATTTACAAATCTATGTTGATAGTATATCTCCTCTACTTTAACCCTTCTAATAAATTGGCAAAATCATCATTACCAATCCCACACATACAGTAGTTCTTCAGTTTCTATGTGGTTTTGAACAGTTGTCTAACAATCCTGAAATATAACTTAGTCTGACTTAGATAATATAATTCAAAGGTAAAATTTAATGTGCTACTAAATCTTGTCACACTGACTTTCAAAAGTGTCTGACCTTACAAATCATTTATAAAATATGTAAAGTGTTACATATTCTTTATTTGATAGTATACAGAAACCACACTAAAATGTCATTCAATAAGTAAAAGGCAGTATTTTGGATACAGGGAATTCTAATTAGATTGGTAGAGTTATGACCAAATATATAAAGTAGACATCACTACCTTATCTCTAGCCTTTGCTTTAACAGGTTAATTAACACGAATAAAAGCATAGGTGAGTCTGCTTAGTTTTGAGAAGTGAAGGGATTTCTTCAGCATTTATATATTCATATAACTAGTTACATATAAGCCTAAGTAAAAAACCAGTCTCCAGTAGGTTTTGAGATGACATTCACCATCTTTGTAGAAAGATGAGTATCACTAATGAATTACCAATTATATCTTTAGAAAGGGCAAATAGTAATAGCACTTACTGAACTGAAATTTCTATCAAAATTTCAAAAAAAAGCAACATTCATTTAACCACAATCCAGTCTTACTTAAGTCAGGATTGTCCAACAAGAATATCCTGTTAGCTATTCATGATCTGAGTTCTGATGGAGGTAAGTTAAAATATGGCACACACAAAAAAAGGCGAGACATTTCCATTTTGTCATAAATAAGGCAGTGGCCACTTATTACTCATTGGTAGCTTTTTAAAGATAAGCTATTAACTCTGCTCTCTCTGACTTCTTTTTATGCCAGCGAAGATCATTTTTGCTCCAGGGATGTACTTTGGATTCTCCAAATCCTCCCTCAGTGTATCCTCTCCCCAGGGGATGCCTTTGTTCTTGTTGGCATCTGTGTAAGAAAATCCAGGGCCTGACCTGTCTTCCACCCATGGAGATTTGGGCCAGTCTTGTACTCGCCTCCCTTTTCCATGGTGTGGCACTGGGCACACTTCTGAACAAAAATCTTCTTGCCTTTCTCAACATCACCCATTTTTAATTCTCTCTCTTGTCGCTTGGGAATAGAATTACCACTCAGAAACCAGATGTTCTGCTCTTATTTGGGATTTCTTAAATGTGCCTCTCAGTGCCCAGAATGAGATCCATTCTCCCTCCAGAACATACACTTATATCTCCAGGTAACAGTCTGCACTTTCACCCACTTCAGGGTTTCCTAATCTTGAACTACTGGCTATATGGCTACGAAATGCCTGCCGGAGTTCATTCACAGCTGAGGTATGAAGCTGGAATTGGCCCTACATGCTGGGTAGGTACAAAGCAGCCTAACTTTTCAAGTACTGACTGACACTTCTCACCTCCGATTCCAGCTCTACTTTGAGAAGGATATCTTAAGCCTCACCACCTTCAAGTAGAACAGAAGCCTATTTCCTTCCCCTCTCAGTGAAAAAAATCTAACTGTTCAAATGTAAATTGTTCATGGAGGAGGAACACGCAGTCTGTTTTACAGAAGTAAATCAAGAGAAGACTTAGCCTCTGATTTATATTGCTTTGCACTTTGGTCTAATATTAAGAAACAGCATTCTTCTTCAGTGAAATTTTGGGTATCATACATCTACCCTTAATGTCCAGGCTTTCCTTTTCAGAAGTTAGAATTCACGGGACCAGCAGTTAGCATAATGGCTATGTTGCTGCACTCCCATGTAGTTGACCGTGGTTCGCGTCCCGCACCCAGTGGCTTAAACTCATGTGCTGGCGCGTGTGCGTGCTTGCCCAAGATCCCGAGAGGAGAATGGAGGAGAAGCGATTGCAGCGTGGCCATCCTCCCTGGGAGGTGATTTCTCACTTTCTGTCTCTCTGTCTGGCGAGCGCACGCTCCCTATAGCAAAAGCCTCTCAAAAAAAAGTTAGCATTCTCCTTTTGACTGTCCAAGTCATTATGAATTCTGACTTGTTGTATTAGAAACATGTTGGACAATGAAGTCTCTCTGGATTGTTTTAGTAATATTTTTGGATCACACCTTTTTTCTGTACCAACTTCTTTTAATTTAAAGAATGATAAGCCAGTTATATTCTCTTCCAATAGATAATATCACTCTTTTCTTTTATTCACTGTTCTCTGTGCTCCTGTCATCTCCTGATATTTAGTAAAGTGACACCTTTGTATATGTGTTTGCCTCCTAATTTAAAACACTGCATCCACATGTAGACATAACGTACATAACAGTTGAAGTCAAGGTTGCTGGAATCAGGGCACTCTATGTCTGTGACACCAATAGAGTATGTTCGCATTTGTCCACACGCTGGGCTCAAGGACCTGATACTAGGGTTGTTGTGGATGGCGTAGAATCCTTCCTGCAGTATTCATATATGTTTTTATTTTGTTGTCATCACGTGTGTGCACGTGTGTGTGTGCGTGCCATATGTGTTTTTAATGAGAATCTTGTTTTAAAATGTAATAGCTTTTTTTTTTTTGGAGAGGATTTTTGCTATAGGGCGTGTGTGCTCTCCAGAAAGGCAGACAGAGACAGAGAGACAGAAAGCGAGAAATTACCCCCCCAGGGGATGGCCACCCGCAATCCCTTCTCCTCCATTCTCTTCTTGGGATCTTGGGCACGCACGCGCCCAGCATGAGTCTAAGCCACCAGGTCTGGGACTGGAACTGTGGTCAACTACATGGGAGTTCAGCCACATAGCCATTACGCTAACTGCTGGTCCCTTAAAAAATGTAATTTCTAAAGTTTAACACAAAATGGTTTATTTGTTGTGCAGTTTATACAGTAAGGAGGTACTTTCACATCTTTTGTTGTCCTTTTCCTTCTAAGTACTCCTGAGTACTAGTGGTCTGTTCCCTAGTGTGCATTTGGCTTCACTGTCAAACATCATTTTCCTGTGCAGTAGCGACCCCAGGAAGGGAGAATAAGAAGGTCCTCCTCACCATGTTTTGCACTCTCTAATCTGTGCATCCTGACCTTGGCAGTATGTCAGCAGGGCCTGCATATGCATTGGAGCCTGCAGAGCAGGTCAGGCTGGCTCCAAGGCACCTGGTGAAGAGAAGACGCTCCTACCTGGTGTGAGTCCTTGAGCCCGTGAATCCCATCCACTTATCTCTGGTGTCTCCCATTGCTATGGCCTAAGCAGGGTCTCAGAGTTCCTGAGTGTTTCAGAGCCCGAATGTGTGAATGACACGGACCATGCATGGAAAGGGCAGGCATCCAAGTGGTCAGCATTCCTGGTCCCGTGTTTCATGGTGGGTTTTTATTTGCCCCCGCCATTGTTTCCAAAGATCAAGGAATGTCAATAACATTTTGATGGACCAATAGACAACCTCCTGTCCATTACCCTCCCCTAAAAGCACACGCTACTTACTACTCAAGGGAAGCTCCTCGCTGTTTTGTCCTTTGCCTTGAGAATGGCGTGGGGATCAGCACGTGTACATGTGCGATTCTTGTATTCGTTTATTGGCTTTGCTTTTTAGGTTTCCTTTTTCCTTTCTTAAAAATATATCTTCTCTCAAATATTACTAAATTAATTTCTGGTTTTGAGAGGTCGAGTCTCAAAGTGTAAAAAGTAAACCTCCATTCATAAGGTGGATGCTGTAATCTTGGCAGTGGTAATGAAAGTGCTTTAACTTTGACCAACTCTTCTTAAAGTTTTAGCATCAAACTGATTAGGAAGGCCCAGGGTGAGGGAAGGGGGAAGGGAGAAGGTAATTCTTCTGAATGAATGGATTTGTTTTGTTGTTTTGCATGTTTAATATAGAAGTTCCTGTTGTTGCTTGTGAGATCATGGCCTTCGAATATGCACACAACCTTTGAATTGTGCCTCCTGCATTAGAGCAGGGGACTTTGGCATCCAAGGAATTCTGATTCTCTGGGATTATCATAGTAATTCCCAGCCATACTCTGACTTTGTTTTGCTAACCATACTGAGCAACTGTGAATTACTGCTATATTCATGTTTTAAAGCACTGGTACAGTCTAGCTTTAATTATGTTTGCCAATTATCTGTTTAAAATAAATTTGTGTTTGAACAGCTATTGAAACTGTTAAATTGTACAGATGTTATTCTTGACAGTTTTGTACTGTGGAATGTGCTTAATAAAAAAACAAAAAGTTTGACCTTTGTCCAATGAATTGCTAAGTAATGTGAGTAAACCAAGTGTGAGTATTTTGCATGACTCCTAACCTGTCTTCATGCAGTTGTTACTTCAGCTACTGATTCAAAGCCAATACTCTTTAAAAAAAATATTGCAATACTCTGGGGCGGGGGGAGTTGATCATCTGAGAAATTTGTTTATTTAGGACAATTTATTGTTGGATAAAGGAGATATATAACATTTCACTTGTATTTATGTTCAAAAGCAAATTTTAAAATGTACTAAGTTCCCTAATTTTGGACTCCTTCATGGCCAACCACATTTGAGTCCCAGACCTGCCGACTTGCTTTCTCACTGTGTGTCTCTCTCTGTCTCCTTTTCTCTCTCTCTGTCTCTCTGGTGATTGTATCCTATTCAATGGGGACTGTTCCTGTAGCTAAGAAGAAACTTCCCAACTTGTCTGACTTCTTGGAAACTTCTTCCTCATGTCCTAAGATCTTCCCATTCAGAAGCTCTACTCAACATTACAACTAATGGACTACCCTTTGCTCCACTACAAACATTTACCGATGAGGAAATGATGATAAAGAGCTCAGGTAAGTAAATTACTCAACTTCTTCTTATTATTTCTCTGGTCATGAGTTGGGTCTACAGTATGAAATTACATATAAAGATATATTCATGTCAGTTTGTGAGTAGAGTTTTTGACATACTTTTTTTTAAAGTAATATATTGGATCATTGGGAAAGTCATGACATGTTTTTTCTGTGTAAAAATGCATCGTGACTTTCCCAATGACCTAATATGTCCAAGATTTAAAAAACAGCAACAGAATAAAAGTTAGTATGGTTAAAAGTTAAGTTTTCACCCCCTTTTCCTGGTTCTCCAGGTCTTGTCAGAAACACCCTAATTATCGGTTTGTTATTATATCCTTGCAGAGTTTAGGAGTACAGATATATTCCACTTTTATAAGATAGTTGGATTTTAGCATTTTACATAGCCTTTTGAATTGACCATTAATTATGAAATGCTTGTGTTTAAAAGAGGTGTTCTGAATCAAGAAGCAGAAGTGTTATGCCACTAGACCTTTAAGCAGCCCATATTCATTTATTCATATGTATAGTTGTGTGTATGTGTGTGTGTGTGTGTGTGTGTGTGTGTGTGTGTGTAAAATTATGACAAAATTGAAAATCTAGGGCCAGGCCAGCAGATGGAGTGGTGGTTGGCGTGCCAGACTCCTACATGGCCAGGCACATTTGAGTCCCAGACCTGGCGACTTGCTTTCTCTCTGTATCTCTCTCTGTGTCTCTTTTTCTCTCTCTGTGTCTCTGCATACCCTGTAGCAAATTGAAAAAATTATAATTATGATAAACAAGATTTAAATGGATAATTGTTTAAAAAATAAAATCTGGGGCCAGCAGGTCTCATGGTGTTTAAGGCACTGGATCCCATGTGGCTGACTCTCTGGTTTGGGTACCAGACCCAGTGGCTTGAAAAATATGCTGGGCACGTGTGCATGCCTGCCCAAAATTCTGAGAGGAGAATGGAGGAGAAGGGGTTACAGCATGGCCATCCCCCTCCTCCCCAGGCGGTGATTTCTCACTTTTCTCCTGTCTCTTACTTTCCTCCTATGTGCCCTATAGTTAAAAACTTAAAAAAAATCTGTAGCACAATACCAAAATTGTTGTTCTTAGAGAATATGGATGGTAAGTGTATTCGTTTTCTATTGCTGTGTAACAAATTACCACAAACTGGATGGGTTAAAATAATACACAGTAGCTCACAGTTCTGTACCTTAGATGTCCATGTGTGGCAAGTCCAGACTCAGGATCTCACAAAGCCGGCATCAAGGTGTCAGCTGAGAGCTGGAGCTCTCAAATCCAGTTTCATCTGGTGCTCAGAACCTTCCAAACTCACAGGCGTGGGTCAGGATTCAGTTCCTTGAACTTGTAGTTCTGTGATTCCTGTTTCCTAGTTGGCTGTCAGCCAGCAGTTGCTCTCCAGGCCTCAAGGGCTCTGTATTCTTTGCCATGTGGTCCCCTCCCTCTTTAAAACCAGTAACTGCCTATTGGGTCAAATCCCTGTCAGAGCACCTCCCCTTTGAAGGGATCACCAAATGAAGTTGGGCTCACCAACTATCATTTTCCTGTTGCTGAGTCAGCTGGTTTGGAACCTTAATTATGTCTGTAAAATCTCCTCACAGCAGCATTTAGATTCATTTTACATCGAAAAACTGAGAGAAAACAAACACATTTACACCAGGGGTTGGAAATCATGGGATCATCTTAGATATCTGCTTACCACAATAAGTAGATATTTTTTCCTTTGCTTTCCTCAACTTTTTTTTTTTTTTTTAAAGAACTATTCATTTATTATCACTGTTTTTCAATTTTGACCAGAGACAGACAGAGAGAGCAAGCTGCCAGGTCAGGGACTCAAACTGTGGTCAGCCATGTGGGAGTCTTGCACCTTTAACCACCATGCCACCTGTTGGCCCCATCTTCTCTCAACTTTTAGTTGTGGTCTCTGAGGTAAATGAGTTTGGGGTGGATAAGGAAGAAACTGAGTAAGTGGTCAAATATTTTACATGAATCAAAAGGACTTCCTTAGAATGTCTTGGTTCTGTGTTTTCATTCATTCATTCATTTACTACCTACTTTGTCCAAGCATAGAAGCAACAAAGATGGACAAAAAAAAAATCACTGCCTTTAAGAAATTGACAATCTAGTAACAATAACAGTCAAATAAAAGAAATAATTTCTTTTTTTTTTTTTTAAGATGGGAATAAAGTACCTCCCAGTGAGGTATGGTCACGCCACCATCACTTCTCCATTTCTCCATACTGTTGGGATTTGGGGCATGCACACACGTGTGCCCTGCATGTTTCTGAAGGTACCTACGTGTAGGACTACTATGTGCACAGTCAGCCATTTGAGATGTAGCTCCTTTAACCCCTAGGCCATGGGACTGGCCCAAAAATATTGGCTCATCGGAAAAGTCATGATGTATTTTTCTGTTTTTCTATGCAAAAATGAGTCATGACTTTTCAAACGACCCAGCAGTTTTAAAATAACATAGTAGGAGCTGACCTTGTAGCCTAGGGGTTAAGGGAGCTGGATCCCATATAGCCAACCATGTGATTCAAATCTCAGGCTTGAAAACACACCAGACCTATGTGTATACAAACCCCAAATCCTGACAGAATGGAGACATGGAGAAAAGCGTTTATTGTGGCATGACCACTCCCCATTGGGGAATTGCTCTTCTTGCTCGCTCTCGCGCTCTCTCTCTCTCTCTCTCTTTCTCTCTCTCTCTAGGGAGCACACACAAACTCGGGCAAATTTTTAAAAATAGTAAGTAACATAGTAAATGTCACAGAATATGTACAAAGCCGAGAGCACCTGAAATTTGTTAGTGGAAGTGAGAGCAGTCAGCATATGCTTTGCAGAAAATGCAGGACTTAAGCTATGCCTTTGAAGGATGAAGAGGAGTTTGCCAAGTAGACAAGGGAAGGTAAATGTTCTCGACAGAGGGAATAGCTTATGCAGAAATAAATACTGGAGCAAGCTGATATGCATTAAATTTCATTTCATTGCAGTTGCCTTGCCTACCCATCTGCAGCATTTGGTACTGTGGTGGTAGTAAAGTTAAGGTACTTTCATCAGAATGAATTCTAGATGTATGGAAGACTTGAGTGAAGAACTGTAAAGGTTTTGAATAGTGGTTTTCAACTGATGGTCATTTTTTTTTTCCCAAGGAATATTTAGTAATATCTAGAGACATTTTTTTTTTTTTATATTGCCACAACTTAGGAGTGGGAGTGCTACTGGCAGCCAGTGGGGTAAAGGCCAGGGATGCTGCCAAATATCATACAATGCCCAGGACAATAGACACTTAATCTGCCATGGAACTTAAGTGTGCTGAGGTGGAGAAACCCTGTTCTCTCTAAAATATTTAACGATAGCATAGTGAACTACTTGTATGTATGCCCACACATACATATATACATGTATAAACACATAATATATAATACATATATACATTACAGAATTATGTGTTTGTATAGCTATTATGTTGGGTCATTGGAAAGGCTATGACATTTCTTTATGCAAAAAATACATTATGACTTTTCCGACAACCTAATAGAAACAAATTACATGCAAAAAAAGTTTTCAGAAAGAAAACTTTGGAAAAATTAGTTACCTTTGGAGAGAGAGATTAGAGGCTTGGGGCAGGGAGCAAGGCTTTCATTTTTCATTTTGTGTTTTCTGTTTTATTTATTTTTTTGCACTAAATACATGTATTATGTTTATTGTCATAAAGGGTTACAGAGAAGGGTTGGGAAATAACATTTCTGAATTTAAAAAAAAACCGAAAACTTCATAAATTCCATTTGAAAACAAGAAGAGCACCAGTGTGTATTTTTTCTTATTAGTTAAAAAATAAAATTATGCCAGCAGACTATTAATGAGCTGCTGTGCTCTGTGTATTAACATAACGACCACAAAAATACAGACTTAATCCCTAATTCTTTTTCCTGCAGTTAGAAAATTTGCACAGGAACAAATTGCTCCTTTGGTTTCAACCATGGATGAAAATTCAAAAATGGAGGAATCTGTGATACAAGGATTATTTCAACAAGGGGTATATATTTTTTAATTCTTCTAATTCTAAACTTTGATAAGTTCATTCCAGTGTTAAAATGTATGTATACATTAAAATATTTAATGATAGCTAATGAACTATTTCCTAGTCGAAATTATTTGTGTTCTCTTTTAGATTGATTCCATAATTAATATTTTTACACATAAAAGTATTTTTTAAAAGAATTATTTATTTAATTTAATTAAAAAAAAATTTTTTTTTCAATTTGCTCCAGGGCATGCAGAGAGAGAGAGAGGAAGAGAGAAAGCAAGCCTCCAGGTCTGGGACTTGAACCACAGTGGGCCATGTTGGAGTCTAGCACTTTCACCACCATACCACCTGCTGATCCCATACATTAAAGGTTTTTAAAAATCGAGGGACTAGCAGTTGGCGTAATGGCTATGTTGCTGAACTCCCATGTAGTCGACCACGGTTCGAGTCCCAGACCTGGTGGCTTAAACTCAGGCTAGGTACGTGTGCGTGCATGTCCAAGATCCTGAAAGAAGGGATTGCAGTGTGGCCATCCTCCCAGAGGGGCGATTTATTGCTTTCTGTCTCTGTCTTTCTGTTGAGCACACGCACCCTATAGCAAAAACCTCTCCAAAAAAAGAGAAAAAATTAAATTAACATTTTAGATTGGAAATACTAAATACTAAGGTTGGAGATGAGAGAATGACTATTTTTTAGAACACTGGTTTTTAGAGAGAGATTTTTCCTACAGGGTGTATGCACTCACTGAAGAGACAGAGAAACAGAAAGAGAGAAATCACCCCCCAGGAGGGATGGCCATGCCACAATCCCCTCTCCTCCATTCTCTTCTTGGGATTTTGGGCATGTATGCGCACACTCCTGGAGTGCATTTTAAGCCACTGGGTCTGGGACTCGAACCTCAGTCAACTATGTGGCAGGGACATAAGCATTACACTGTCTGCTGGGCCCTAGACCAGTGGTTCTTAACCAGGAGTGTTTTTGCCACTTTTGACAGTGCCTGGAGACATTTTAGGTTGTGGCAACTGGGGTGTGCCAGAGCTAGAACTGCTGTTGAATATCCTGCAGTGCACAGAACATCTGCACCTACAGGGAGTTTCCTGGCTCAATAATGCCGTAGTGAAGAAACCCGACTTCAGATGGTAGAATTTCACAATATAGTATATATTCTTCCTGAATCCCTATGTGTGGAGTCAGTTCAGAAGCAGAGACGGTGTCTGAGTTCCACATTAACCAGGACAACAGATTTCCAGCCTCTTAAATCATGGGGCCTTTAATGGAAAGCTCAGCATATGAAATAGCTAGCTGTGGCTGGGTCAGAAGGAAGAGGTTATCACCATAGAGGCTCCAAGGAGAATGTTTTTAAAACTCATTGCACTTATTCACGATTTTCATTCTTCTCCATAGGTGTGAAGCGATATTTATTTTTTTTATTTTGAATACAAAGGACATCTTGTACTAGTAGCTTCTATTCAGAGCCATTAGCCTACATCTTGTCTGTCATCCTCTTTGAAAAAAATAACCTTTGCCATTTATCTAGATAGTTTTATTTCTTCCATTTTTAAAGTGGCTAGCTTTTTAATAAAAGTTATTTTTATTAGGACTAGAATTTTAGGGTGAGAATTTAATTTTTCTTTCTTTTTTTTTTTTTGGCTGGAGGATGTGTATATTCACTGTAGACAGAGACAAAGAGAAGGGAGGGAAAATGAGAAATTATAGCCCCCTTCCCCCTGTGGGGATGGCCACACCAAAATCCCATCTCCTCCATTTTTCTCCAGGTATTTTGGGCACATATGTGCACGTGCCTGCATGATTTTCAAGCTGCCAAGTCTGAGACTGAAACTGCTCATTCAGCCATGTTGTATTCAGCCATGATAACCTCCACACCATCTGCTGGTCCTAAAAATGATCGGCTTTCTTTTTTTTTTTTTTTCTTTCAGTTTGCTAAAGCACGTATGCACTCACCAGAAGCACAGAGAGAGAGAAATGGAGAGAGAGAGACAAAGAGGGAAAGTGAAAAAATCGCCCCCTCAGAGGGTATGGCTACTCTGCAGTCTTTTCTCCTCCATTCTTCTCTCAAAATTTTGGGCATGCATGCACACACATGTGGCATGCTTTTCAAGCTGCCAGGTCAAGGACTCGAACTACTCAGTTGGCCTGTGAGGTCTGGCTGCCTTAACCTCAGTGCCACCTGTTGGCCCTAACCAGTTTTTAAAGTATATGTAGTGGTGATTTTTCTAACTTTAACAATAGAACTCTTAAGAAAATGGAATCTTAGGTGGAACCACAGTGGATCAAACAGAAGTTCAGTAAGACAGGTAGACTCTGTGAATTCATTTCTCAGCCAGGTTTTCATCTTCATTGTTTGCAGAACCTCTAGGCTTCTCTGAGAAGTCTTATGGTTTCATGTTGAAAATCATTCTCTGAGGGATAGCTCCTATAGTCAGGGCTGTCTGCAGGGTGATCCATTGCCTGCACCTCTCTACCCATCTCCTTAAACTGCTCCTGCTTAGATGTAGCCTAGCCTGCCTCCCAGCTCCATTGTCCCAGCTCTTTGGTCACCTGCCATAGTAGCTAACAAAACCAATGTTTCCACTTTAGGAGAAATGAGTGACATTTTAAGAGAAAAGCAGTGTCTCCGACGGCCATTGAATTTATTATGCTCCTATAATTATGACCTCTTCAGTCTCTAGGCACACTTACATCCTTTAGTTCTTCCTCATAGAATGTCAGTTCTGGTTCTCTCACCATTTTAATCATCCCCCTTTGTGGTTCTACCTTCATAACAGCACCTTTTCCTTCATCCTAAAGCAAAACAGGCACAGTCCTGGCTGCAGCACCATGTGATCCCACGAGTGCCTGGAGAGAATAGGAGTGTTATTTTTTTATCTGTTAACAGCTGTGGATCTTGAATTACAAGTGTACAGATTCTCTTTCTGAAATGAGGACATTTAAAAACGGAGCACTGCAAAAGTTTTGTGTGTGAGTGTGCAGAAGTTACTATAAGTAACAAAAAATCTGTAACAGGAACTATCAGGTCATCATAAAAATCATGATGCATTTTTGCATAGAAAAATAAAAATATGTCATGACTTTCCCAATGACCTAATATATTTGTAAAGCCATTCCAACTGAGGAGTAGGTAACTTTCTTCCATTTCTTTATTACATTGAAATAAATATAAAGGAGGATATGTTGAAAAACCAAAACAGCCATGTTCAGTCTCTTAACAGGCAAATAGTTCTTACCAAGGAAGTCCATCAGAGGATGATTATATTATTTAAGACATTCTCTTATTCTGTTCCATTACCTTTCAAAGCATTTTACCTCTCTTATCTTCCTTTTTTGAATCTTAAAAGGGAACAAATTATAACATGTAATTTCATCTTTTTGCAAATATATATAGTATTGGCTATAGATATTTTTGTTACTTATAACAAAATAACTGTACAAAATTTTAAATTAAGAACATTTTATTTCTGAACTTGTTCTTGCAAGAAATCTCTCCATATAAAAATAGCTTTCTTAATCTATGTTTCTTGTTTTTCCTTCAGCTGATGGGTATTGAAGTTGACACAAAATATGGAGGAACAGGAGCTTCATTTTTTTCCTCTGTCCTAGTGATAGAGGAATTAGCCAAAGTTGATGCATCTGTGGCTGTCTTGTGTGACATCCAGAACACAGTAATTAATCCACTGATTAAAAAACATGGAACAGAAGAACAAAAAGCCACCTATTTGCCTAAGCTGACTACAGAAACAGTAAGTTGAAACAAGTGGTTGAGATGGATCTGATCTTTTCTAAGTTAAGTTAGTTTCAAGAAAGAAAAATGTTGACTTCATTATCCAAGACCCCAGTGCAGCCCCATCGGTTAATCAAATGGTGCTTAGTAAATTAATGTTGCTAGAAAAATACGCTCTGCCTCTCACGTGGCAGTTGGAATTCTAGAGAGTAATCATCAGACAATAAAATTATTTCCTTTTTTGTCCTAATAATTTTTCTAATACTTTTGTTCATGGTTTAATTTATATTGTGCTGTCTTTCTACTTTAATTACTAAAATCTATTTAAATAAACTTAACTATGTGTTCTTAAGTCTTTATATTTGTTTTAAACAAATAATAGGGTATGTTTTAGAAAATAATGCTGTCAGAATACCATTATTATTTTTTTTGGTAAGTCTAGGCTTTTTAAAAAATAGCTAACGGTTCATTTATAAATGTTCACTATGCCATAAATATTTATTATACATTGTATAGATACAGTTATTAATTTGGAATTTTTTTCCCTTACATGTGTAGGTAGGAAGTTTCTGCCTCTCAGAGGTTGGAGCAGGTAGCGACTCATTTGCATTGAAGACCAGAGCTGATAAAAAGGGAAATTATTACGTCATCAATGGGTCAAAGATGTGGATTAGCAATGCTGCCTATGCAGGGCTCTTCCTGGTGATGGCAAATGTAGACCCTTCTGTTGTAAGTTTGAAAACAAAATTTTGTCCTTTTTCTCTCACTTTTTCTCATTCTTTTTCCTTTTCTCCTTCCATTTCCTTTTTGAACAAAAACTTAAATTTTTCATTCTCTAGCACTGAAAATCTTACACTTGAACTGAAATCTTTTCACTCTTTTATTAACCTTCTAAGAGTAATATTGACATAACTATTAATGACATGAAGCACGATTTATTACTTATCTCCTAATATGTTATACAGAAAGCTAATCTTTAATTTATCAAATTTCATATTTTCAATTTATGTATCTAGGTTTTTTTTTTTTTTTTTTTTGAGAGATTTTTGCTATAGGGCATGTGCACTCACAAGAAAGACAGAGACAGAGAGAAAGCGAGAAATCACCCCTCGGGGGGGATGGCCATGCCGCAATCCCCTCTCCTCCATTTTCTTCTCGGGATCCCGGGGATGCACACACACGCGCTGGCATGAGTCCAAGCCACCAGGTCCAGTACTGGAACCATGGTCGACTACATGGGAGTCCAGTGACATAGCCATTACGCCAACTGCTGGTCCCAGTATCTGTTTAGTTTTAAGAATATTTTACTCAGCTGGAAAATAAAAACATAGCAAAATGGTAAATATATTTTATCTTTTGCCTTTTCACTATTGTAGTATTTTAATTAAATTGTTAAGAGTTTAAAGTATATAATAAAATTAAATTTAAAACACATAATTCTCATGATCATTAAATCATGTAGTGTAACCTTAATTTCAAAAAGCATGATGAAAAGTAAAAGAAGCCAGCCAGTTGCATGGTCAAGGTGGTTGGATCCCACGTGGCTGTCTGTGCAATTCAAGCTACCCTGTAGCTTGAAAAACACACAGGCGTGTATGCATGGGCGCCCAAAATCTCAAAAGGAAAAATGGAGGAGAAAGAATTGCAACATGACCATCCCCTTTTGGGAAGTATTTCTCACTATCTTTTTCACTCTCTGTCTCTCTGGCAAGTACACAAGCCCTTTAGCAAATTAAAAGAAAAGAAAGTAAAACTAAAAGAAATGATAAAATTCTTGATTTTTGATCTCATGTTCATTCCTGTTTTTCTAGAGTGGATCGTCAGAAGAGTCATGATGTATTTTTTGTTTTTCTAGGCAAAAATGTGTTATGACTTTTATACGTTATTTTTATTACATATGTTGAAATTCTTTTTTTTATTTTTTATTTTTACTATAGGGTGCGTGTGCTCTCTGGAGAGACAGAGAAAGAGAGATAAGAAAGTGAGAAATCAACCCCCTCCGGAGGAGATGGCGACCTCAAAATCTCTTCTCTGTTCTCCTTTCAGGATTTTGGGCATGCATGCACATGCACCTGGTGTGAACTTTAAGCTGCCAGATCTGGGACTTGAATGGTCATCAACTATGTGGGAGCCCAGCAACGTAACTATTGCACCATTTGCTGGTCCCCATATGTTGCATTTCTTAGTCCATTAGATTTATTACTAAAATTAGTTTTTAAGTTTTCTTTTTACTTCAGATTCTTTAGAAAAAAAGTATTTTACAAATCTAATAACATTTTTTTTTTGGAGAGGTTTTTGCTATAGGGCGCATGCGCTCACCAGACAGACAGAGAAAGAGAGACAGAAAGTGAGAAATCACCCCCCAGAGGGGATGGCCACGCTGCAGTCCCTTCTCTGTTCTCCTCTTGGGATCTTGGGTGTGCATGCACACGTGCCCGACATGAGTTTTAGGCCATGGGGTCTGGGACGTGAACCGCGATCAACTACGTGGGAGTCCAGCAACATAGCCATTATGCTAACTGCTGGTCCCTCTAATAACATTTTTAAAAAATTATTTATTTAATTTTATTTATTCATTCATTTATTTTAATTTGACCAGAGAGAGAGACACACAGAGAGGGAAAGTGAGAAAGTAAGCCACCAGGTCCAGTATTTGAACCACAGTTGGTCATGTGGGACTGTCCAGCACCCCAACCACCACGCCACCTGCTGGTCCCTTTAATAACATTTTAAATCTTCTTTTTAGGGATATAAAGGAATCACCTGCTTCTTAGTAGATCGTGACACTGAAGGCTTTCATATAGGGAAGGCAGAAAACAAACTGGGAATCAGAGCTTCTTCGACCTGCCCATTAACATTTGAAAATGTCAAGGTGGGTATCTTAGAATAATTAGTAAAAGACTGATAGAAATAATGTGTGGAACCAATAGGAGAAGTGCAAGAAAGGCGTCAAAATACTTTTTTTTTTTTTAGAATTTTGCTATATGATGCATGCACTCACCAGAGATACAGAGAGAGACAGAGAGAAAGTGAGAAATCACTCCCCAGAGGGGATCAGCACACTACAATCTCTTTTCCTCCAGTTTCTTCTTGGGATTTGGGGCACACATGCCTGGCATGAGTTTCAAGCTGCCGGGTCCAGAACTTGAACTACTGTCGGCCATGTGGAAGTCCAGTGCCTTAGCCACTATGCCATCTGCTGGCCCTGAGGTATCAGAATATTAAAGTGGCTGTATGCATGCACAGGAGAGTATCTTGCAAAACTCCTGAATAAGGTTCTTAGTTAAGTCACAACTAAATGTACTTTCCACAAGAGTTTACGCTAATAGTAGAAACCTTTCTGCTGAGCAACACTGGCCTTAAGAGCAAATGCCAAGAATTAATCTCATTTTTATTTTATAACTTACATACTTCTGAACCAGTTGTACTTTTTTTTTTGAGAGGTTTTTGCTATAGGGCACATGTGCTCGCCAGACAGACAGAGAGAGACAGAGAGACAGAAAGCGAGAAATCACCCCCCAGGGGGGATGGCCATGCCACAATCCCTTCTCCATTCTCCTCTCGGGATCTAGGGCACGTACGCACACACGCGGGACGCGAACCGCAGTTGACTACATGGGAGTCCAGCGACATAGCCATTACGCTAACTGCTGGTCCCCCATTTGTACTTGTAAAGCTTGATACTTGCCAACCAAACATAGCTTTAGAGAAGGAAGTCTGGTGTCAGTACACCAAAGGCCACAAGATGGGGATGTTGTTCAGTGAGAGGCAGCAGCCCACACTTTAGGATTAAGTCTCTGAAAAAGGAGGGAAGAAAGGCTGCCAAAGTGCTAAGGCTGATGTGTTAGAACTGTACACAGGTAAGAAAGGTTGTGATGGGTGTCCTACCACTCACTCAGCTTCATATTTGTACATGGGTGTTAGTGGAGTGCTGGGGACATCTTGGCCATGTCATGGATCTCAACTGCTTTGCCCCACCTAGCTTCCTTCTTCCTACTTGTGTTTCCTTTCTCCATTTTGCCATGTTCCCTCTTCTAACTGCTCATATTATAAAGCTATGTGTATTTTTCAGTTGTTCTTAGTCTTAATTTTTAAATTTATTTTAATATTTATTTTTACTTATTCTTTTTTATTTCTTTTCTTTTCTTTTCTTTTTTTTAAAATTTGACCAGAAGAGACAGAGCAGCAGGGGGGAGTGAGAAAGCAAGTTGCCAGGTCTGGTACTCAAACCATCGTTGGCCATGTGGGAGTCCAGCACCTCAACCACAATGCCACCCACAAGCCCCTAATTTATTTTTTTAAAGAGGTTTTTGGTATAAGGTGTGTGTGCTAGCCGGAGAGACAGAGACAGAAAGTGATAAATATCATCCCAAAGAGGGTAGACCGCGACACAATCCTTTCATTCTCCTTTCTGGATTTTGGGCAGGCATGCGCGCGTGCACACACACATACACACACACACACACACACACACACACTCACACACATGCATCTGGCATGAGTTTTAAGCTGCTGGGTCCGGGACTCGAACCACAGTTGACTGTGTGGGAGTCCAGTGATGTAACTGTTACACCATCTGCTGGTCCCAGTCTTAATTTTTTTTAATTATGAAGAAACAGCTGTTTCCTCCCTTCTTCCTCCTTCTCTTTCATACACACATGCATGTGTGTACACACACACACACACACAACTTAGTTGATTTTTATAAGAATGAATAATCTCAACAGAAGAAGAATTTCCTATGCTTGCTTTTGCCAGTACTTACATATCTTTTGTGGTTCCTAATACATTATCTTATACTGTAGCGTACAAATGAAAATCGGGGTGAGGGATTGTTATTCGTTTACTGCTGATTTGTATGAGGTTCCCTTTTTCTGGATTCATTTGGTGGCCTGTGCAAGGCTTTGAAGGATGCAACACTGAGCCACGTAGATAAGCATCCATTCCCTCAAAGAGCTATGGAGGAAACAGTGGAGGGAGAGCTATAGGGGACACGACTGTGGAGGGAGACACAGAGATGCCAGAAGACAGTCTCGTTGGAACTTCATTAGTACTGTGATAGAGAAATATCACACAAATCAAGAGTATATATACATTTAAAAATACATAATCAGGGCCAGCAGGTGTAGTGGTTAAGGTACTGGACTACCACATGGCTGGCTGTGGTGCGAGTCCTAGATCTGGCAGCTTGAAACTTACTTCAGGCATGCCTGCATGTACGTCTAAAATCCCAAGAGGAAAATGAAGGAGAAGGAATTGCAGTGTGGCCATCCTCCTGGAGGATGATTTCTCATCCTGTCTCTCCAATGAGCATACCTGCCCTGTGGGCAAAAAAGAAAGAAAACAAGAAACAAAAAAAAACCCTCCAAAAAAGAAAGAAAACAAGAAACAAAAAAAACCCCTCTAAATATTTATATGTGTGTGTGTGTGTGTGTGTGTGTGTGTGTATACACACACATATATATAAAACATATATATATATTACATATATGTATCATCAAAGTGAAGTTTGTCAAATTAAATTGAGAAATACATGCACATTTGTGTTTTCAGGTTCCAGAAGCCAATATCTTGGGACAAATTGGACACGGCTATAAGTATGCTATCGGGAGTCTTAATGAAGGTAGAATAGGAATAGCTGCACAGGTAAGTAAAATTTTAGCTTTTACCTAATGTCCTCCATTGATTCAGTTAATATGTAGAAGAAAAAATACAGCCAGACCAAGTGTTTGGAAGTTTGTGAACACAAGATGGCGCCCTTCCCTTACGTGAGGTGAAAGATGATTTCTGATGATTTCTTTTGGATTCCACTTTGATCATTTATGTAAGTATGTAGAGAACCAAATAATGGCTTAGTGGTAACAGTTTTCAAGAGCACTAGAGTATTACCAATAAAGCATCATCTAATACCTGGACTGATAACTTCTGAAATGTATTGTAAATTAAATATGGCATTTTTAAAAATCTTAACTTTCTAAAGCATGGAATTTATCCTGGAAATTTTTTAAATCAAGAATAAATAGGGGAGGGGCCAGCAGATGGCATAATGGCTATGTCGCTGGACTTCCATGTAGTTGACTGTGGTTCGAGTCCCCGACCCGGTGGCTTAAACTCATGCCAGGCGCATATGCGTGAGTGCCCAAGATCCTGAGAGGAGGATGGAGGAGAAGGGATTGCAGCATGGCCATCCTCCCTGGGGGTGATTTCTTGCTTTCTATCTCTCTGTCTCTGTCTTTCATGTACCCTATAGCAAAAAGCTCTCCAAAAAAAAAAAAGAATAAATAGGGGAGACCAGCAGGTGGCCTGGTGGTTAAGGTAGTGGACTCCCACAAGGAGGGCCATGGTTTGAGTCCTGTACCTGGCATCTCACTTTCTCACTTTCCCTCTCTCTCTCTGGTGAGTGTACATGCCCTGTAACAAATTTAAAAAAAAAAAAAAAAAAAGATAAATAAAATTAAATAATTATTCACCAAATTTTAAAAAAGAATAAATAGGTCCAGGCATGCTGCTCTGCAATGCTGAAGGTCACATGGCCGTTGGTGGATTCAGATCCCCAGTCTAGCTGGGACATGCCACATGCACTCCCAAGATTCTGGCTAGCAGGGTGGCAGAGGGAGAAGGTGATTGTAGTGTGATGGCACCCTAGTGAGAGTGCTTCTCTCTCTCTCTGTAGAAATACAAATAAGAAAACTTAAAAAAAGAATAAATACATTTATTCTACTGTATAGTAAGAGTCTCTAATCTATAGATAATGAAAGATTTCTTGCCTAGTGTTTTGCATGTGGAAATCATCCAACTTTTTTGTGACACATGAAATAAAACAACCACAATTACTTTTCACCAAATTTGCCCGTTAAACTGCATATTACATTTTTATATTAAATGATACAGTTATTTTCTAGATTAGTAAAATGAGTAAGAGATTTTATTTTATTATAAATCACATTATTTCTTTTTTAAAAAATTATTTAATTTTATTTGTCTTTTTTTTCTTTTTTTAATTTGTTACAGGGCATGCAAGCTCACCAGAGACAGACAGGGAAAGTGAGAAAGCAAGCTGCTAGGTCCAATACTCTAACCACAGTTGGCCTTGTGTGAGTTCAGCACCTTAACCACCATGCCACCTGCTGTCCCCAAATTACATAATTTCTGAAGAGTTATTTATTTATTTAGAGATTTAGAGATTTTTGCCATAGAATGTGTGTGCTAGCCAGAGAGAGAGAGACAAAGCAAGAAATAACCTCCCAGAGGAGATGACCACACCACATTCCTTTTTCCTCCATAATCCTCTCAGGATTTGGGGCACATGCAAACGTGCCTGGCATGAATCTCAAACCACCAGGTCTGGGACTTGAACCATGATCAGCCATGTGGGAGGCCAGCTATGTAATTTCTATGGTATCTGCTGGTCCCTGAAGAGTTATTTTTAACCAATGAGTGTCTAAAATGTAAGAACTTGGGACCAGCAGTTAGCGTAATGGCTATGTCGCTGGACTCCCATGTAGTCGACCGCGGTTCGAGTTCCGGACCCGGTGGCTTAAACTCACGTTGGGCGTGTGTGCGTGCGTGCCCAAGATCCCGAGAGGAGAACGGAGGAGAAGGGATTGCGACGTGGCCATCCCCCCTGGGGGGCGATTTCTCGCTTTCTATCTCTCTGTCTCTCTCTGTCTGTCTTTCTGGTGAGCGCATGCGCCCTGTAGGAAAAATCTCTCCAAAATAAAAATAAAAATAAAATAAAATAAAATAAAATGTAAGAACTTAAAGCTCGTAGATTTTATTTTTTCGGAGAGGTTTTTGCTATAGGTCGCGTGCGCTCACCAGACAGGCAGAGAGACAGAGAAAGACAGAGACAGAAAGCAAGAAAAGCAAGAAATCACCCCACGGGGGGGATGGCCATGCCTCATTCCCTTCTCTTCTGTTCTCCTCTCAGGATCTTGGGCACACACGCACACACACACACACCCGGCGTGAGGTTTAAGCCACTGGGTCCAGGACACGAACCGCGGTCGACTACGTGGGAGTCCAGCGACATAGCCATTACGCTAACTGCTGGTCCCAAGCTCGTAGATTTTTTAAGCTATTACATATATATTGGCTATTGGAATAGTTACATTTTCAATTATTATTCTAAGTTTTGTATGGTATTGTTACTTTGCTAACAAACTGTTCTCACATCAAAACTTAATCCAGGTCTCCAACAAAGCTAGACAATACATTACTAGCGAATATTAGTTTAACTGTTCTTTTTTGGGTTTTTCTGTGATTTAACTTGATCAAATATGGCATTAAAAACTACAGCACTGGATCTCATTTTTCCCAGACATATAAATAATATAGAGATGTTCTGGCAGTAAAATGCACAGCCTGGGCTTTAGTCTAATTACTCCAAGTTATCTTATAACCTAATTAAAAGTTAAGGTCAGGTAGTTATTACGTCTCAGTGGATGCCTTTCAGAGAAGAGGCACATATACCAGAGTGAACTGAAGGCATCTGTTCTCAAAACCCTGCAGCTAGAGAGAATTGTTTTTTTCAGGATTTGTAATGGAAACATTTTACTGAAATGGAAAAGCCTGTTTTGATTGACAACAGATCATTTCACTTTTTTGTGTCACTATAGAATATATTTACGTACTCTAAACTTTAGTTACAAGGGTATAGTGACATCATCTTATAGCCAAAAGCTAGTCTGCCACCTCACTTTTAATATTTTTTTGCCACTTTAATTTTTAACATAATATTTTATTCTCCAGAGAGTTCAAAGTAGAAGACTAAAAGAAAATGTGAATGAACAATAATGAAATATTGATACATTTATGGGCATTTCCCCCCAAAGCTTTAACTATTGATTTTTTTTTCCTTTTCTAAAGCCTACATAGTTTGACATAATTAGATAGTGATTTAATGGCTAGCTAATGTTGAAATTTAGAAACCATTTCTAAGCTTGAATCGTTCAATAGATATGGAAATTGGTTAGCAATAAGACAGTTCAGCTAAAATTGTCACCACATCCTGATTTGTTCTTCAAGCGTGTAAATTAATCTTTCTACTAGATGCTCTCTATCATTTTTTCTCAATCCTAGCTAGACATTAAATCACCTAAGAAATTTTTCAGATGCTGATATTTAGACCATGCTTCCTATGCTTTCTGGTCTCAAGATTTTGATTCAGCTTTAAACCCTGGCATAAGTTTGGTGTTTTGTTTTTGTTTTTGTTTTTGTTTTTTTAAATAGTTGCTTTATGCACGTGTGCTCATCGGAGAGAGGGGAAATGTGAAAACAAGCCACCATGTCAAACACGAAACGTCAGCCATGTGAGAGTAGAGCACCGTAACCACCACGCCACCTACTGGCTTGGCATGAGTACTTTTTTAAATCAGGTTCCCCAGATGGTTCTAATGTGTACCCAGGGTTGAGACACACTGCTGTCTCATGTTCCAGTTCCCTTTCTATTGAAGCTCTTATTAGTCCTGCTCATAGACAGAATGTACAAGGAAGTGGAAGGTGAAGAAGCGACCTTCCATATTTGACTTCTAGAAGGACTGGAGGGAGCTACTCTGCAGTCTTTGAGGCCACTTCTGAATAGAATTTCTGTGGCTTTGCCTGGAGAATCAAGACTTAAAGGAAGGGAATCCTGAAAAGTAGTGTGGTATGAATACAGCCATACTGGAAGGTTTACTCTGTTCTAGAATTAAATATACTGAGATTCATGTGAAATCACACAGAATTTTCTCCCAGTTAATGGAAATACAGGTCTATACAGGGAGTGGGTTAAAGTGCCTCACCAATTTAATATCTCCAGTTCTTCCCCTATCCCAGCAATTCAGTTTGCCTGGATAATGAAAACCCCAAACTTCTAAAAAGAAATTCTTTTTCTTTTTTTAAACAGATGCTGGGGCTGGCCCAAGGGTGTTTTGACTACACTATTCCATATCTTAAAGAAAGGATGCAGTTTGGCAAAAGAATATTTGATTTTCAGGTAAAGAATTAATAAGCCCTTTCTACTGTTTTAGACCCTCCCATTTTCCTATTAATGAAGAACTATGTGAAAAGCCATGGAGGGAAATCTCAACAGGATTCTAATGGGAGAGGAGTAGAGAGGAAGGAAGAGGTCTCAAGAAGTATACTTGTGAATGCTGTAATCTTTTCCAAAAGCAGAACAGATTTAATTGAACTGAATGTACTGTGGAAGAACAATCAGAATCTTAAAAAGTAAAAAAAACAAACAAACAAAAAAAACTTCTAAAACAGTGATATTGGCACAGAAATAGGCAGATTGACTGATAACATAAAAAAGGGCAAAAAGAGACTAATATGTGTATGGAAACTTGACATATGATAGAGATGGCATTGCATATTTCTCACAGTATTTTGTCTATTTGGAAAAATAAAATGAAACCACACATTAAATAAATAGATTTCAGTTGTATTAAAGAGATAATATAAACAGCAAAAACAGGGCCTTGTGATTAAGGGAACCAGGTATCACATGGCCAACCTTGCAGTTTGAATCCCAGCCCCAGTGGCTTGAAATACATGCTAGGGGGACCAGCAGATGGCATAATGGTTACATCACTTGTCTCCCACGTGGCCGACCACAGTTCAAGTCCTGGACCCAGCAGCTTGAAACTCATGCTGGGTGCATGTGCATGTATGCCCAAAATCCCAAGAGGAGAATGGAAGAAAAGGGGCTGTGGCATTGCCATCCTCCCAGGAGGTGATTCTTGCTTCCTGTCTCTTTGGCAAGTGCACGTGCCCTATAACAAAAATCCTTAAAAATTTTTTTAAAAAGAAAAACATTCCAGGTGCATGTGCATGCCCAAAATTATAACAGAATGAAGAAATGGAGGAGAAAGGATTGCAGTGTGACCATACCTCAATAAGAGGGGAAGCTGGTTTCTTCCTCTCTCTCTATCTCTGTATCTCTCTTTCACTCTTTGGCAAGTGCATATACCCTCTGGACAAAAAATAAAATAAAATGCAAAAAAATAAAAAAGGAAAGGACCAGCAGTTAGCATGCTGGACTCCCATATAGTGGACCACGGTTCGAGTCCTAGACCTGATTGCTTAAACTCACGCTGGGCACATGTGCATGTGTGCCCCTGATCCCGAAAGTAGAATGGAAGAGAAGGGATTGTGGCATGGCCCTCCCCCCTGGGGGGTGATTTCTCACATTCTGTCTCTCTGCTTCTCTCTGTCTTTCTGGTGAGCGCACGTGCCCTATAGTAAAAAATTCTCAAAAAAAAAAAAGAGGAAAACTTGAAAATTTTCAGGAGAATATTTTTATGACTTGATTGGAGCAAAGGATTTTATAACAAGTCACAAATAGAACTCTTAGTAATAAAAAATAATAAAGTTAGTGAATCTGATGACCAAATTTCCTTTCCTCAAAAGATGCTATAAAAGGGACCAGCAGACGGCATAATGGCTACGTCGCTGGACTCCCATGTAGTCAACTGTGGTTCGAGTTCCAGACACGGTGGCTACGTGAGCATGCGTGCCCAAGATCCCGAGAGGAGAATGGAGGAGAAGGGATTGCGGGGTGGGCATCCCCCCTGGGGGGTGGTTTCCCGCTTTCTATCTCTCTGTTTCTCTCTGTCTTTCTGGCAAGCTCACATGCCCTACAGCAAAAACCTCTCCAAAAATAAATAAATAAATAAATAAATGAGAGAGGAAGTGGCTAGAAAGAACCCAGATTTGAAGTCAGTCTGTAGTCCTGTCATCTCTTGACTCTGTCAGTCACCTTGCACGGTTCTAGTCCCGGACCTGGTGGCTTGCTTTCTCACTTTCCCTCTCTCTTTCCTTCTCACTCTGTCTCTCTTTGGTCAATTAAAATAAATAAATAAAGTTAAATAAAAAATAATTCTTAAAAAAAGAGAGGAGAGAATATTTATTCTGCACATAGGTTTGTGATTGTTTAATTTACTATTTTGCTTCTCCACCTACATATATAGAGCATAGTCTTTTTTGCACATAAAGACATATCAAATGTTACAGAAAGAAAAAAATGAATCTATAAGGTGCTTGTGAGCAGTGCTATTTTTCTTCATCTTATCCCTTCTTTTTGTTTATGAAAGGCCATTTTGGGATAATTGAGTTACCTGCCTTAATCAGGATTCTCTGTCTTAACATTCATCACACATTATTATCATGATCATGTTTTCTCTGCTGGACTGTGTACATCATGAGAACAAGGAACTCTGGCTGTAATGGCCAGTGCGATGGCTTCCTCGCCCAGCATGGTGCCTGGCATACAGTATTGGGTCGTCGGCAAAATCACGACGTGTTTTTCTATCAGAAATGCATCTTGACTTTTTCAACAACCCAGTAGGTACTCAGTAAATACCTGAGTGGATGAACAGGTTAGGCACAAGAAACATTTCAGTTATATATATCTGTATTTCCAGGAAGTTGCTTATAACTATAAATGTTAATATTCATAATTTTACTCGCTAAGTTATTTGTTTCTTTCACTGACATTAGTGTGCATCTGATTACCCTCTAAATTTTCAGAGTGGTGGTAATTTCTTTAACATTTTTTTCTTAAGTTATTTTCCTGTTTTCTACAACCTTAAAGAAACTGATGCCTAATTATAGATAGTACAGTGTTAGTCAAATTGATAAGGTTACTTGAGGGGGGAAAAAAATGATGCTTCAATTATTCCTTCATTACTTTGCAGCTAAGATTTTTTAATACTTTAAAGCCATATTCAAAATCAAAATCTTCTTAGTTCAGGTAAATAACATACTGAGGGGATAAGCAGGTGGCATGGTGATTAAGGTGCTGGGCACTCCCACATGGCTGACCACGGTTTGAGTCCGGACCTGGTGCCTTGCTTTCTCCCTTTCTCATTCTCTCTCTCTCTCTCTCTCTCTGGTCAAATTTAAATGACTGAATGAATAAATAAAATAAAGCAATTCTTTAAAAATATAACATCGAAAGCTCTTTTACTGAGAGTTAGTTTAAGCTCAGTTTTGATCATAGATGTTAAAATAATTATTAAATATATAATCAAGTTTTTAAACTTAATTTTGTGATTATTTTTTTAAATCTTGGCAATTGTAAAGAATAACATGAACTTAAGATTTTTTTAAGAAAAGAGGGGCCAGCCAGTGGTGTGGTGGTTAAGGGCACTGGACTCCCACATGGCTACCCATGGTTTTAATCCCAGACCTAGAGGCTTTCCTTCTCACTTTCCCTCCCTCTCTCTTACTCTGTCCTTCTCTGGTCACATTTAAAAAAATAAACAAATACATAAAGTTCACTAAAATAATTCTTTTAAAAATTTTCTTTTCTTTCTTTTTTTTTTTTTTTTTTTGGAGAGGTTTTTTTGCTATAGGGCACGTGCACTCACCAGAGAGAAACAGAGAGACAGAAAGTGAGAAATCACTCCCCACAGGGGATGGCCACACCACAATCCCTTCTCCTCCTTTCTCTCGGGATTTTGGGCATGCACGCACACACCCAGCATGAGTTTAAGCCACTGGGTCCGAGACTCAAACCATGGTCGACTACATGGGAGTCCAGTGACATAGCCATTATGCTAACTGCTGGTCCCTAAAAAAATTTTTTTAAGAAAAGAGGATTTGATAATACTCATAGTATTTTATTTTAGGTTGCACATTTTTAATTATTTAAAAGAAATGAGTGTGAATTTTCTTTGGTGTATGTTTTGAATCTCAGTTTTGTATATCTGGGCAGGACTTTGAGGATGAACTCTGCTTAAGAAATTATAATTCTTTAACTTGGACCTGAATGTTACAGGGGCTCCAACACCAAGTGGCTCACGTGGCCACCCAGCTGGAAGCTGCAAGATTGCTAACATATAATGCTGCTAGGCTTGTAGAAGCTGGAAGGCCATTCATAAAAGAAGCATCTATGGCCAAATATTTTGCATCTGAGGTAAAAATAAAAAAAAAGTAATTTAGAATTCAGCCTACTTTTTCTTTTTTCTTTCAGATATGTGCCTATTAAAATTTAATTTAAGAATGTTGTTTGAACTTATGGTTGTTTCTCAAGTAAAATAACATGTACTTTCCATTTCCTAGATCAGAAAATTATGACTGGGTCAGCTGGTCATGGTGTAGTTAAGACAGCTGGATCCCACATGGCCACCTACGTGGTCAGAGGTCCTGCACCCAGCAGATTGAGCAACACATGGGGGGAGGGGCAGCAGGTGGTGTGGTGTTTAAGGTACCAGACTGACACATGGCTGACTGCGGTTCAAGTCCCAGACCTGGCAGCTTGCTTTCTCATTCCACACACCACCCTACCCTCCCACTCCCATCTCACTCTGGTCAAATTTAAAAAAATAAAAATAGTGATAATGATGATGAATAAAATAAAACAATTCTTTAAACAATAAATAAATAAAAATAAAAAGCCACCAGGAATGTCATCACCAGGTGGTGGTATGGTGGTTAAGGTGCTGGATTCCCATGTGGCCAACTACTATTCGGGTTCTGGTCCTGCTGGCTTGAAAATTACACCAGGTTCATGTGCATGCCTGCCCAGAATCCCAAGAGGAAAGTAAAAGAACTGCAGCGTGACATCCCCCCAGGTAGTGATTTCTTACATCTTCCCACTCTCACCCTGTCTCTCTCTCTCTAGTGAGCACAAGCTTCCTGTGACAAAAACCAAAAAAAAAAAGGAAAGGAAAGGAAAACATACCAGGCACATGTGGTTGCATGCCCAAAATCCCAAATGGAAAAATGGAAAAGGGATTGTGATGTGGCATCCCTCCTTGGGGCTACTTTCTCACTTTCACTATCTCCAGTGAGCACATGTGCCCTCTGGCAAATTAACAAAAAAAGAAAAAGAACAATGCTCTAGGAAAGTGCTTTGATTCTGTGAGATGTTGATGATTTCATGCGTAGCCAGTTCAGGTTGGCCACCCATCACAGATCCTTGAGTGAGCTTCCTCTTCCCAATGATGTCATGCCCATTGTCTCATGTGGGGGTAGAGTGATGCTGCAGAAGAAGACATGTTAATAAATATCAGCAAATGAGATTAAAAGCACTAAGAAAAGATGGTCTATGTTTTTAGTACATTTTGTTCATACGTATGCACTCCATATTATCACATTTAACTTTGGCTGAAGAAACCAAATCGTTGAGCAGCAGTTTCCCAGCCTTGAAAGTATGTTTTATTCATTCCATGCCTAGAAGTACTCATTTAACATCTCTTTCCAGTATCTAAATTTAATCTCCTGCCTCAACCTTCCTTCTGAAATCCAGACTAATACTATATTCAACCTCTCTTTTACCAACCCACTCAAAGCATCAGTCAGTAACCTGAGAGTCATCTCAATATCTTCCTTTCCTTCATCTTGCACATTGAGTTTGTTACGAGTTCCTGTGATTCTCCAAAAGATTTCTTCAGTTTATGTACTTCTTTCCCTCTCCTCTGCCACCTGTGTAGTCGAGCTGCATCATTTTTTACCATTCTTCAAGTCTTCTAACTGCTCTCTTGGTCCCCATTCCTTCTCCACTTTAGTTTGCTTTTTTTTAGAGAGGTTTTTGCTATAGGGCACGTGCGCTCGCTAGACAGACACAGAGAGACAGAAAGCGAGAAATCACCCCCCGGGGGGATGGCCACACCGCTATCCCTTCTCCTCCATTCTCCTCTCGGGATCTTGGGCACGCACATACACATGCCTGATATGAGGATTAAGCCACCGGGTCTGGGACACAAACCACAGTCGACTACATGGGAGTCCAGCGACATAGCCGTTACGCTAAGTTCTGGTCCCTTTAGTTTGCATTTTTAAAGTGCCTGTAAAGCAGTGTCACTATCCAGTTTTAAATGCTTCAGTAGCTCCTCACAACAAATAGAATGATAATTTGTATTAGTTTCCTATTGCTGCTGTAACAAATTACCAAAAACGTTATGGCCTGAAGCAACCTAGTTTTATTCTCTCACCTCCAGAGGTCAAAAGTCTGAAATGGACCTCAGGAATAAAATGAAGGTGTCAACACAGCTGCCTTTCTGAAAGTTCTAGGAGAGAATCCATTTCGTTTCTGGAGGCTGCTGTCATTCCTTGACCTGAAAGCCTCTTCCTTCCTCTTCATAACCAGTGATGGTGGCACATTCATATCTTTGACTCTGCATCCTGTTTTCATGGGCACTTCACCTTCAAAGACTGACTCTCCCGTCCCTCTTCTTTACAAAGACCTTGGTGATTACATTCAACCCACCCAAATAATCCAGGATTATCCCTCCATCTCTAGGTCCTTAATCTTGATGCTAAGTCCTAACCTACTGTTTCTAGGTTCACATGACATCCTTAAGGAGCCAACCAATGAGGCCAGCCTGCCTTTCTATTCTCTTTTCACAACTTGCCCTGATCCCAGCCCACCGGCTCGTTCTCTCGAGTCCCCGAGGCTGATAAACTCAGTTTCTCTATTTAGAGCCTTTCTGCATGTTCCTTAACTTTAAATGTCCCCCCCTTGTCCTTTAGGTCTCAGCTAAGCTGCAGTTTTCCAAATATTCCACCGTCCAAATCATGTTAGCTTTCCTAGCAAGCTCTTCTTTTGACCCATGCAGATTATCGGTTTCTGTGTTTGTTGGTCTTTAATGCCTATCTCTAAATGACCACCAGGACCACCATCATATACCCAGGAGCTGGCAGACTGCGTGGTGTAAAGAAGGCTTTCAATAAATATTTGCTGAATAAATGCTATGTGGTGGCAAGTACATGAGTGTGAACAATATTCTAATTTTCTTAAGAAAACAGTAATTTTGTATATGAATAGGACATTTTATGGAAATGGTATAACGAATAGGACAAGAAAGACAATGCTAGTTTATAAAATAATTTCGGTCTTTCTTGTTGTCAATACCAGTGAATCTATGTTGCTAAAAGCATTACACAGAAGTGTTTATTATGATAAATTACATAGCCTTATGTGTGATTTGCTCCCTGTTTTTGGTAGATCGCTGGACTAACAACTAGTAAATGTATCGAGTGGATGGGAGGAGTAGGCTACACCAAAGATTACCCTGTGGAAAAATATTTTAGAGATGCAAAGATTGGTAAGTAGATGCTTACATTTTATTTGGTTTTGTCTTATATGCCTCTGCAGGTGTTTGGACTATTGTATTTGTTAGCTTCATATTATTTGTACATCATGCTAAAAGTAGTGTTAATCTGGCTAGAGTATGTTCATTGGCTCCTCTTGTGACTGGGTTTTTGTACTACCTTTTCCTACAAAAAAAGAAAGAAAATTATATTTTTAAAATCATTAGACTGCCTCAACACGTCTTTTAATAAAACTACAACAAAATCTATCTTAGTTTTTCTTTTACTTAAAACGTTAATATTTAGGATGAACATAGTTCATTGCTGTTCTTTGCAGGATTATTCCGATTTGAGAAGCTAAGTACCTAATCAAGCCTGAGCAGTCCAGTGCTCCAGGAAGAGAAATAAGACAGCTTCTAAAGCTGCCTGTTCTCTAACAGGAGCCCCAGCTTAGGCACCAGTAGTTTAAGCATCAAAATCTTGAGCTATTTAGTACTGATTCTGGACATCTATGCCCTGAATGAAAAATTGTCATCCTTTAGACAAAATTATGTTGTCAAAGGTAGTACTATATTCAGGGGACATTGAAGGATGTTACTAGTAACAGTTTTATAGCAAATGCATAGGTAATGTTTATAGAGCTATTTCTTATGTAGAGTCTTAACTGTGGGTGCACTCCTAATTGTTTCTTTTGCTCTCTCACATTTAAGGTACAATATATGAAGGCACTTCCAATGTCCAGCTGAACACCATCGCAAAGCACATTGATGCAGAGTACTGACATGCATAGAACCGGGATGCCCCTCCCCAATGTCTCTGGTGTCAAATTTTAAACTATTGTGCCTTGTTGGGGCAGTAAACCTCCATGACAGTGAAGCATTTCATTTAAGCCCTTAGTCCTTGGGGTAGGGTGTTTCTGTTTTATCTTTCCAGTCGGTTTAATTTAGCACAGGAGATCTTTTTTTTTTTTTTTTTTTTTTTTAGGAGATTGTTTTTAAATTTTGAGAAAAAACATGTCCGTATTTTCTCTAAAACTTTTGAAAAACTCTATACATATTTATATTGTCATTCTAGTTTCAGAAGATACAGATGTTTTATTCCATCAGCATTTGGAAGAATCTATTTGAAGTATTACTTAATAGAAATAGGTATTTTATATTCCTATTAAAATCTATCTTGTGGCATCAGTCAGAGAAACATTTGTTATAGTAGACAATTTTTATTTAATACTTTATAGATTCATTTCAAAGTTGTTAAATGAGGTAGAAACTGATAAAAATATATTTAGAAAAATCTAAGAATTCTAGTACTAAATATCTGAGGATGGATGAAAAATAAGGCCATAACATTATAGGTTTTATAATTAAAACATTATTTTAACAAAGTAAAGCAATGTCATTCATTATTATAATTAAACTCACAAAGATGCATTTTATGATGATTTTTATGATGATTTCAGCAGGTCATTTTGAAAACTAGTCTCTGCATTAATTTTCAAGTTCAGATTTTAAATAATGTGGTTTATTAATCAGGAGATATTCAACTTTGAAATAGTCCTTCTGTTATACACTGTTTTCTTTGGTAATTTTGGCCAGAGAGCACATGCACTTACTTATTGGAGAGAGAGAGAGATGGAGAGTGCGAAAGGACCCACTCAACCCCCTGGAGAAATAGTTACATCACAATCCCCTCTCTATTTCTTACTCTTTTTGGGATTTTAGGCATGCACACACATGAATGCAGTGTTTCTCAAGCCACCAGGACCAGGACTTGAACTGCACAATCAGCCCTGTGGGCTCTAACTGCCTTAACTACCATGCCATGGGAAGGCCCCACTATCTGTCAATAGTATAATTTCTTTGTGTTTTTTAATTGCAAACTGTTTCATCCAACTTGGTTATTGGGCTTTAACCTGAATGATAATTAAAAAGACTTATGTGTGTGTGTGTGTGAATCAGTAATTCTCAAGAGAGATATCTCATCTCCATAAAGATATGTATCATAGAGAAAGCTCAACGAAATGGATAACTAGTGATGCTACTTTTTTAGCGTTAGGGATTCTGTTGGGAGAAGAGACCTTCTAGGATACAGCTCCTAAGTCCCCTCAGGAAGGAGGGGGGCAATAGAGAATTGAGGAAGAGGGATGGATTAGAGATGAAAAATACTCCAAAGCTCATTCAGTTGCTTTTTTTTTTTTTTTTGAGAGGTTTTCGCTATAGGGTGTGTGCGCTCGCCAGACAGACAGAGACCTAGAGACAGAAAGTGAGAAATCACCCCCCAGAGGGGATGGTCACACCGCAATCCCTTCTCCTCCATTCTCCTCTCGGGATCTTGGGCACGCACACACACATGCCCGGCGTGCGTTTTAAGCCACCGGGTCCAGGATGCGAACTGCGGTCAACTACGTGGGAGTCAAGCGACATAACCATTAGGCTAACTGCTGGTTCCCTCATTCAGTTGCTTAAAATAACTACTCCTGGGGCTGACAGGTGGATGGTGGTTAAAGGCACTGGACACTCACATGGCCAACCATGGTTCAAGTCCCGAACCTGGTGGCTTCCTTTCTCACTTTCCCTCTATCTCTTTCTCTCTGTCTCTCTCTAGTCAAATTGGAAAATTATAATAATAAATAAAGTCAAGATAATTCCTTTAAAAAAGTTATTACTGTTATATGGGAGATATTTTGGTACTTTAATGAAAGGATGTTTATTAAGAAAAATTATACATTTTCAAAGTAATTTTGCTTTGGACATTTATGTTTATTGAATTAGATTAATTTATATAATGCAGATTATAGTTAAATAGTCAAAACTGTGTAAATACATTTGAGATTAAAAATTACATTTAAATATTGGGGGAAAATAAGGACAAATTTAGACTTTGGATCCAAAGAGATAACATCTACTTGACTTTCAAATAGGGAGATGATGAAAACCCACTCGTTCAGTGTTTCAGAACAAAATGACAATTATCTGATAAGAAGAATTAGGAATATATGAAATGCCCTAAAGGGGGCTTGGGCATCTTTAATTTCTGTGATTATGTGAAAGAGGTGGACTTTACAGATAATGGAGTAGCAGCCAACATTAGTAAAATGAATCCCAGCTTCTTGTAGAATTACAAACACGAAACTGCAATAAACCTCATTTCAAATTAGCATCATTAGTGAACCTCCAACAAACACCTTGACCTTAAATTTATATTTAATATGGTAAAGTTCTAATTTTATACACATATTTGGTGCATGTTCATAAAGAACAGTTGAACATCAACTATATTGTATATTATAGTTAGTAAATATTCCTACCTTCTTCTGTTAGTGAATCATTTTGTTATTTTTACCAAAGAGAATGCTGTGGGTCTTTCTCATAGTCCTCCTATTTTAGCATTTCTCCTGATAACCATGATTTTGGGGTTTTTAAAACTATTTTTAGTTTGTATATGATGAAAACTAGCCCTTCACCTCCTAATAACCTCATCATTAGTGTTCGTTAATTTGAGGATTGGGTTGACATGGGGCTCAAGGTAGAGAGCTGTTTGACCAGATTGGTGTAGGCAAACCTGGACTCACCCAACTGCCAGGTTAGTATTATTAGGGATTTCCTTTTACAAAACAAAAATGAATTCATGTCAAAGATTTATAATCATGGAAATTTAAACCTAGAAAGACCTTAGAGAAACATCTAGTCAACTCTCTCTCTTTTTTTTTTTTTTTTTTTAAGAGAGATTTTTGTTATAGGGCATGTGCACATGCCAGAGAGAGAGTGAGAAATCACCCCCTCAGGGGAGATGGCCATGCCACAATCCCTTCTCCTCCATTCTCTTCTCAGGATTTTGGGCATGCATGCACAAATGCACAAGTACCCAGTGTCAGATTCTAGCCGCTGGGTCTGGGACTTGAACCACGGTCAACTGTGTAGGAATCCAACAACATAACCATTATGCCATCTGCTGGTTCCCCAGGTCTCATTTTGAATGTGAAGGATTCATAACTTAGATATTTGCTCAGTCATCCATCCAGGGTCTGAGACAAGAATCCAAATGTACTGGCTCCCAATTCTACATTCTTCCTATTATTTAACAAATTTTGGATTTCATCCTTGTTCTATCTTAGCACTCCTATTGATTTATTTTAGGTTTAACTGTTAAGCATTCACATTTCAGAAGTGTTATGATTGATTGATGTCACCACTTATATATATTAACCATTTGGCATTTAGCAAACTCTCGTAACTGGTATGGCTAATGTGAAGACTGTTGTATATTATTATTTGGTTTTATGATTTGATGTATTTTATTAAATGCACTAGTTATATGCTTGCTGATGTATTTCTGCTGATCTTTCATAAAGTGAAAGTTTTGTTTTAAGGGTATATATCAGACTGTATTCAGTGTTACAAAATCAATATTCTATGGAGAATGAAAAAATAAAGCACTAAATTAACTGGAGATTTTTGCTACTTGGGTAAAACAAAATTGTTTGTTACACGTACAGATGAAGTAAGAAAATAACGTAACCTTCCTCCAAAATAGCCACACCTTCGTTTACCAAGCAATAGCTTGCCTCTCGTGTAAGCCAATTTTATTTGTTTTCAGAGAAGAGGTCTCATGATGTAAAACAAGTTTAAATTTATATTGCTATAGAACATTTTTCCAGAGGGTTTTTTTTTTTAAATGACAAAATAAGCAGCTTTTCAGTAGAGAGGTCACCTTCTGTGAGCACATCCTGATAGTACAGATATTATCTGGCTGATATTTATGCCTGTACTTTATAGTATTACTTTGGAAATGTTATGTTATTGTACTTTTTACTTAGTGCTACACTATATCCAAAGCCATGGGAGCTTTCAGCTTATCTGTTCCCTATTATTTCCTACATTACTTTAGAAATCTAGATATCTCTCTCGGTTTTTTCTTTTGTCATTCAGCAACGTGCACTGAGTGGTCTCCATATCCAAGGTGCTATGGGCTGAGAGCCATGGCGCAAAAATGATAAGAACAGCTCCTTATTTAATTATGTGCCCACGTCAGGTTTTTTTTTTTTTTCTGTTTTCATTAATGTATCTTCACAAAAGGATTGAGTAGAAAACTACCGAGGTCAGCCTATGAAGAAGTATTTCTTCAGATCCATTAGAGTGATAACAGTAAGTGCTTTATCTCCTGCACCCTTAGTGAGCACCTGCCATTATTCCACATCTTTGACCATCACAAGGACACCATAAGGTAGGTGCTCGTGTTACCCCATTTTATAGGCAGGGAAGATAGAGGCCTTGAGAGGTTAAAAGAGGCCCTTGCTGGTTTATGGCGGAAATAAGACTGACACACTCAGGCAGGCTGACTGCTGAAGGCCCTCCCAGATTCATCCTTTGGGTCTTTAAGCCTTGTTCATCTTCAGGAGCCTTCCAGTCAAATGCCACTACTGACTAGTCCTTTGTTAGCTAATAATTCTTCATGGATGATTTTCAGATCTTTTCAAGTAAAGAAACTAGTGGAGAACAGGACCCACAGATAAATAAATAATCGGCGTGGTCAGAGTGTGTGTGTGTGTGTGTGTGTGTGTGTGTGTGTGTGTGGACAGAAAGAGCAGAAGAGTAGATAGACAGGGCAATAGGGAGAGTCAGTTGGATGAGAAAAGTACTCACAAAGCAACTAAGGAAATGCGGAAAAAAAAATCCACCTCCTGGAGTTTCACCTGGCACTTGCCGTGTGTCATTTGATTCTCGATCTGAAACAAATTCTTTTTTGCAGAGAATAGTAACTAAAAGAGACCCCCAAGGTGAGAAGGATGACAGGAAAACATTATACAATCTTGAGTGGTAGCTATAGAATGTGTGATTTGCATATTATTTTTTTAAAAAAACTAACATAATTTTTCTAAGAAATAGTAAGTGGAAAACAAGACGAGATAGCCAAGTATCATATGTGTAGGTGTAAATAGGTCAAACTCACCTGTTAAAATATGTTCATGGGCCAGGCTGTGGCCTGGTGGTTAAGTGAGCTGGAATTGACATGGCCGACCACACAGGTCAAGCCTCAGGCCCAGTGGCTTGAGAAACATAGAATTTGTGTGCATGGTTGCCCAAAATCTAAAAAGGAGAGAGAAAGAGAGGAAAAGAGATTGTGGTATGACCATAACCCATGGGAGGGTGCAACACTTTCTTACATGCTTTCTCTCTCTCTCTCTGTCTCTGTCTCTGACTAGTGAGCACATGCACCCTCTGGCAAAATTTAAAAAGAATAAAAGATGTTTAGATAGGACAAAAGAAAATTTTAAATCCTTAGTACATAAAATTATAAATGCCTAAAATGAAACTGCATAGAAAATAAAGGGATGGGAAAAGATCATACGTATACTGCAAAAAGAAAGGTAGTGACAGCAGTATTTATATTTAACAAAACTAAATTAAATGTAAAAATAATTTAAGAGATTATCTCATATAAAGGAGTTCTCCAAAAAGGCCCACTAGTTATGAACTTTATGTCCCTAAACATAACTGGGAACTATATAGAGCAAAACAAATAGAAATACAATTTTAAAAATTGACAAAGCCATAATCATAGGTGCTGATTTAGAAATCAATAAGTCAAATAGAAGAAAGTGAGAACAGATATAGAGAATTTGAACAGAATGATGAACAAGTTTTATATATACAGAGAGAATTTGTTTCTTTTCAATACAAATGAATAATCATTAAAATTTTGTTTCAAAGAAAATTTCGACAAATTCCAAAAAGACAGAATTTTACAGGAACATTCACTATACACAGTAATGACTAAGTAACAAAGAGGGTTTTTTTAAAGTTAACCATAACTGGGACCAGCAGTTAAGGCACTGGACTCGCACATGACTAACTGTGATTTATCCTGGCCCTGGTAGCTTGAAGATCATGCCTGGCACACCTCTCCCAGGAGGAGAATGGAGGAGAAGGGATTGCGGTGTGGCCATCCTCCCTGAAGGGTGATTTCTCACTTTCTCTCCCAAAAGCACGCAAGCCCTATGGAAAAAAAAAAAATAACTACAACTTTA